CTTCTCGCACGCTCCGTGCTCTCCTGCGTGGCCGCAGCCTAGCAGGCGATTGTTTCTTTAGCAGCTAGCATATCCGCCTCCCTGCCTAGCTCTCTTTTGCCCCACGGCGATTGCCGCTCGGTCTGGAGCACATCCCTAGGGTTCCGTTCCTCCGGCGACTAGCCACATAGGCTGCGTCGGTTAGCTCCCTCGGGGGAGTGTTAGTGGCCGGCCGGTGGTGGCGAAGGCGGATAGGGCAGGAATCGCGCCGACCCCATTTCAGTTCGGCATATCTTGGTCGCTCTTTTCCTATGTTACCTGTATTTTCTAAATTTGCGTCCTTCAGGTGGAGAAGCTGTTCGAGGAGACTCACTTCGTCAGTGTCACCTGGCGATCTAGCTGGCTATTCCTACCCAGCATGCCTGCATTCGGCTCTATCAAGGAGGACCAGGAGCAGGAGGACATGTCCGAGGGGGTTGAACTGCACATTATTGCTGCAAAAAAGATGGCGAGAGAGAAGAATGGGAGCAAGCTGAAGAAAAATAAGGGGGTGAAACTGAAGAAAGGAGTCTGGACGTGCAGGAAGAACGACGGCAAGGGTTGGTTCTGCCGGCGGCTCACGAGAGAGCCCAATTCCTACTGCTCGTACCACTCGGATCATAAGCTGAAGCTACCTGGCAGTGAGAAGCCACATGGGAAGAGAGCCCCGGTCAACGTCGGCGAGGAGTTCTACTACTATGCCGGGTTCGGCCCCGGCACCAAGAGGCGCCGCACGCCAAGCAGCGACAGCGTGCCCGAACCTCCACTGCTTGCTGAACCACTGAAGGAGGAGGCACCATCTGAAATAGAAACTTAATTTTGATGCAGACCAGGCACAAGCGAACAAATCAGACCATCAGGCGGTGCTCCCACCATCGGCACATGTCGCCGACGAGCCTACTCTCAACGATGGCACTGCTAGGATCAGCAGTGATGGTGACGTGCCGGAACCTCCACTGCCTGCGGAACCACCGAAAGAGGAGGCACCGTCCGAAATGCAACTTAATTGTAGTGCAGGTCATTCACAAGCTGATGACTCAGATCATCAAGCAGCGCCAGTATCAGTAAGTGTGGTCGACGAGCCTACGCGCAACAATGGCACCGCTAGGATCACGGGCTGGGATGAAAAGAGCAGCGACGACGACACGCTTGGCTGCAATGGCGAACAACCCCGCGACATCACCAAGAGGAAGAGCCCGTTGAAGAAGAGGTGGAGAAAGCCTGTGAAAGCCCGGTCTCTCAAGTCACTAATGTTGTAGTGCCTGAGTCTTTGATCGGTGGCTTCGGATTACCTAGTGTGGCTTCATCGGCGGTTTTTTATAGTTTGCTCAGCTTAGTCTGCTCCAGTTTTGGTGCTGAGTTACCGTACAATGTACAAACTGTCTGAATTTTTTTTGGTGTACTGTTTTAACTGTCAGCGCAGTGCTAGCTGACGTTAGAACTGCATAAACTGGTTTCTTAGAATGATGTCTTATCATGGTGATGGATGAGATGCAGCAGCCATTGTTTTGCTGCAGTTGCGCGCCCCTAATTCAGTCAACCCATGCGTACCTCAATATGGTACTATATACATACAGATTATTGCCTGCATATATGCTCTGATCTTCTTCACCCCCCAGAGGAACAAGTCCCAACGGTGACACTGTCTGTTGATGGAGGTAGATCAGTTTTTTCTAACCCTGGCGTCAGAATTTCTGCTCGTTCTTCGAAAGAAAATTGTCATTAAACCACCAACAGCAAGATTCAAGCATTATGGCTTCCAACAGTAAGACTGGAGCACTACGACTTCCGACGGTAGAAATAGGATTTGCTGCTCCCAGTGACGAAAACCTAGCATTACATTCCCCAAGACCCCAACAGTAAATATCAAGCACTACGACTCCCAATAGTTGAAAAGAGCAATGTAGCTTCCAATGACAAGAATAGGCACCACTGTCCCCAATAGTGATAAATTTATATATGGACACGCGAACAGACACCAGAAACAAATATCGTTTATCTCGCGAAGATGAAACCAAGGACACTAGACATCAGCGGCCATCATTCCTACGGGACATATATCGCGGCTTTGGCACTCGAGCAACGCCGAGAGGCCTACTCATCCATAGTTTTCATCACCATCGGTAATTAACGATGGTTCAGCACATCAAGGCATATCACAGCGACATGTGGGCTTAAGGATAAATCTCAACCATTCAAGAGAACAAAGACCCAAGTAAGCGGCCGGAACCAAGATCAACCTCACATCTACGAGAAATAAGAAGCACCATATAATGAAGCAAGCTCAACATCTGTCAGGCTACTATCGTCATCCAATAGTGCGTCTATCCGAAAACTAAGTTCTATATCCACCGACCAACTATCATCATGCAACGTTACATCATCTGCCCTACATCAATTTCAATATCCCAACCAAACGCAACACCTGACGACCCGTCGCCCGACAAAGATGAAGTTCAGCTACACGGCTACACGCCAAGAATATACATCAAACGACATATTGCACAACCACTCGAGGACATCTAGATCTGACAAACTTGTGAAGCTCGACTACAAGACCACGAGACTCCGAGGAGAAATGAACTCATCATCCCACTGAGGAACAAGATGAAGTCCACACGTATCCACATCAACCTTACTCGTGGACTGAGCTCCATTACAAATATTGGTCAGTGCTTATCGATGATAAGTCAAATCACATGAGACCTGGCCCTCATTACCGATCTATTGGCCCCCCAAAGCCCAAGGACAAGACATCAAAATGGATTAATCACTTTGGAGTAGAAGGAGGAAGCTGAATCCAGGAAGGACACCCAAGGAAGCCTCCTCTCCAACCTCAATATAAGGCAACCAAGACCTACCTTAGAAGGGGTCTCTCCCCGCCCAACCTACTTTAGCCTACACCACGTAGAAATTACAAAGCTTCCCATCGTAATCACTACCATCATCTCACTGAGTTTCCCTAGCTTGCAGGTACTCCCAACTTTGTAATCATGGTATCTCTAGTTCTCTACATATATACAAGAAAAGAGCATGGCATGAAGAAGGGCTTTTTACCTGCATTGCGGACCTACACCTGGATATATCCAGTGTCCTTGTTTTTGTGTTTCAAACTCCCTCGACGACTTGACATGAAATTCCCCCGGCTACAAATCCATGTACAGTCTCGCATACCGTTGTTAGGATCTGAAGTAAAATCCCTTGTTAGGACCGTTCATGAATTAGTTGATTCTGAGTACCGTGTTAGAGTTCTTTTTACACTGCCAATGGGGGGATGCTCCCAGCTCAGTGTTATATCATTTTGAAAAGATATTGATGCAGTTTATAAGGGGGAATTGAATAAAAAATCTAAATAGAGTGGCACCATTTATGAGGAAATCTGGGTCGAAAACCACACAAGTAGTAAATGCAAAAAAGGAACAACAGAGAAATGGCTGCCCAAGACAAGTTAGTGCCTAGCCGACGTACACAAAGATCATCACCACAAGGGCACATGAACGTGCAGGGCACCATCAGACAACATCACAATACAAAGATGTTGCCGGTTGCCGAGAACACCCGCGTGCATCTTGGTAACCCCGCGGTGTGACACAAGAGAAAAAGAAAAAAAAAACGAGTGACAATGGCATGACTGCAAGCTCCTCCACAAGAGCGTAATATTGGAGCAATGCAAGCGTGAGACCCACCGACTGATACAAACCTATCCGGGAAGCTCCGCCACGAGGATAACGTGAACAACTCAAGGTGGGGTTGCCATCTCGTGTCGTCGAGGCGCAAAGATCAACCGAGATCGCACAGAGAACACAAAAGTCAATGCAATGCAAGTCAACATTTGCCTTCGGAGGGATTTGAGATGCACAACATCGCCACCATGGCTCGCTCACGCATGAAACAAGAGTAGGGATTTCTCCAGGAGCATACACCCACAAAACCCAACCGGACAGTTTGCATCATGAGCCTCTGCACTAACCACCTGAGACCTAGAGGGTTCTTCAACAACAGAGGAGGGAGGAGAGCATCGTTGGATGGTCGCTACATCCACACACTAGTTGCACTACTGACCAGGATGCAGTTGGCCGTAATGAGACACCAGTTAGAGGCCTGAGTGCGAGACGAGGTATCAGCCCTAGGGGACCTCAGTGCCGGCAAGGGGTGGACACAAAACACATGGCGCACCCCGGGCAACCAGACTACCACGAATGGACGGGGTCATCAACATTAGGAGGTAATTAACAGGGGCTGGACCGCGGACCGATATCGGACACAACATCTTGAAGGCGTCGTCCGTTGTCCGAGACTGACCATCGAGTCAGCAAAGAGAGGACCAAATCTGAGATAAGCTGGCGACGAGCAACAATAGTAGGGGGTCTAGATGGCCAAGGAAGGGACTATGAGTGCCTAGTGGAGAAGCGTGTGAGGGAAGGGTACTGGAAGAGACGCCGTGTCGTTGTAGTCTATCATGGATTGGCCTTCTCCAACGACGATGTGGGGGGTTTGGACGGTGAAGCGAAGGCTTTTGGATGGCGGACTGGCAGCGGTGCCGCTGCGTGAGTGAGCGAGAGCGACCCGGAGGTAGGGTCTTCTGGTCTCACCACAGAATGCAAGTGGTGGTATTCGATAACAAAAATGCCCAAGTGGTGCACTAGAGTACCTTGCAAGTTAGTGTATTTTAATCTCAAGAAAGAAAAGTTGCTCCAGTATATTTTCAGAATCAGGCGCCACAGTGAGTATATTGTCAGAAAAAAAAGAGAGTTAGCGAACCAGCATATCCATCGCTTAGGCATGCTCAGTCACAAGTCTCCGTCAGCTCAGTACACGTGTTCACCGTCACTGACCAGCGTGGCCCACAAAACTCCACACTGGCAGCCTTCGTTCTTTCCTCCTGCGGGCTGCGGGCTGCTTCGACAAATCTCAAACCCTACCTTCAGTTGCTAGGTACTTCCGCAGATCCCAACATCCGCTCCGCCTCGCCCCCGGCTGCCATGCGGATCCGCAGGTCCGCCTCCCGCCTGCTGGGCGGCGCAGCCGCTGCCTTCGCCCCCGCCCCGGCCCCCTCTGACCGGCCTCGATTCGAGCTGTTCCCGCCGCCGCCGTCGCCGCCGGCGACGGACCAAGCCCACGAATCCGGCGCCGGGTTGGTGGCGCCCGAGGCCTCCTCCTGCGGGCAGCCTTGCTGCGAGCTCAGCAGGTCGCCGTGGGAACTCATGGCCGAGCTCGACCTCTCGGACCCCGAGGTAATTTTGCCCCACTCGCTCCATCTCACCTTCCTGCCTTCCCGCTGCTTGCTTGGTGATTGATGTATGTGTGTGTGTCGAAGATTTGCGCGCCGCCGCCTGTTTCTGCGCAGCAGCCAGCGTGTTTCCCCTAGCTTTCCTCTGCCGTCGCTAGGGTTACCCTCCTCCGCGCGTGCGTTACCAAGTAAATGGTGCTGCGTCAAGGTCTGGCGTGTGGGGTAGTTACCACGCGCAATCTCGCTGTAATATGTGGCTGGTCGGTGGCCGCGCCGGCGTGGTAGTGGCAGCATGGTCGGCCATGGATCTTGCCCAAGGTTTTAGATTCTGAATGGAGATGTTTTCTTGTGGGGCGGCGAGATACTACTTGGTTACCGCGGTTACTGTGTATCTCTACTAGTTAAAAAAAGAAGCTCAAGGTTTTCATTTCTCCTCTCTTTAGTCTAACTTTTCTTATATATGTCCCACCCTTTTCTTCTCCTCTTTGATTTTTTTCTCTCATCTCTGAATTTTCTCCCATCCATTCTTCCTAAAATAAAATCAATTGTCTCATGTTTATTAACTTATCAAAAACACATTTTATTTGGTAAGCAATTAAATTCTGACCAAATAAGTGCTTAACAATAAAATAGCGTGTAAATCATAGCGATTGCATAGAAAAACTTGCTAAGACTTTAGCGCATCAATATAATAATAGACGCGCAGTCACAAGCTAATCTACTAGAATGATTATATTCCCACTGCAACGCATGGGCAATTATGTAGTACCAAGAAAAATTTCATCTATTTCAAATGAAATTTAAAATAAATTTTGAATTCAAAATTCTTTTACCTCGATTTAGCTACGTATTGAACATGAGTTTAAACAAAATAATCTGCAATTGTAATGGAATATTTCTTGACAACCCTTCGAGGGGAGAGTTCTCGTGTGGGTTTGATTCTCTATTCGCAGATACTGCTACACGAGGACTAGTTGGCATGCTTTTCTACATGGGATATGTTATCTGGTGAATGTCAGCTGGGAAGGGGGTGACAAGCGAAATTTTTTGTGTGGCAAGTTTACGTGGTGGGAGATGGCAAATTCTGCCTTTTTTTGCCACATTTTTTTCCATTCTTCCCGTAAATTGCCATATTTCCTAAAGAAATTGCATCCTCCTAGCTAATGTTTGCTGGCAAAATACATTCATTTCTAGATACTTTCTCTGACAAGTATTTCCGGATGGACGGG